CCGACAGGGGAGGCCACCCTGAGGTGGGGCAGGCAGGCGGGCCAGAGGCGGAGCACAGAGCCTCTCTGTTCCCGGAGGCTGGAGGCCTCTCCACAGTTTGGGCTCATGAATATTTCAGCCAAACAAGTCTTGAGTGTCACATTCCAGGGTGCTGGGCCAGCTCCTGGGTTCTATTTACTGTCAGAAAACAGCTCAGGGCAGGAGCCAGATTCTTCCAAGTTTCTGGTAAGTGGGGGCTGAGGGAGCGCCTAGCCACACCTGCCCGCCCTGGTTACCCTTCTCTTTTTTCCCTTTGAAACAAAGTTTCAATATATAGCCCTGGCTGGCCTTGAACTCACAGAGATCCTCCTGCCCCAGCCTCCCTGGTGATGAGATTACGGGCATGCGCAACCACACCTGGCACCCAGGTCAGCACCTGAGCAGAGGACCTCCTCCCTCCTCTTGGGGGCAGGCAGTGTAAAGTCTTGTGTTTGCCAGGTTCGAATCCCAGATCTGGCTAGGTGACTGCAAATTTCCTGCCCTCTCTGAGCAGAGCCTCAACTTTCCTGTTTGTCAAGTGAACGTAACAGTTGGTGACAGTCCTGAAAGCCTGGAATTCCAGATGCTCTGGAGGCTGAGCAGAAGGATCACAAGTTCAAAACCAGCCTGGGCAACTTAATGAGAGCTTGTTTCAAAATAAGAAGTAAAAAGGGCTGAGATTTTTCAAGATGTGCTTGAGAAATTCAGCTGTTCTTTTTTTTTTTTTTTTTTTTTTGCAGAACCAGAGATTGAACTCAGGCCCGTGCACTTGCCAGGGAAGTGCTTACTCCGCTGAGCCATCTCCCGGGCCCTCAGCTGGTCTGTTGTGGCTATCTTGATGGCCTGAAGGGATTCCAGTGAATAAGGAAGTTAAGGACACTGTCATGTGTTTATGAGCTGCCTTTCTATTGCATGGAAACCAGCATTCAGTGTAGTGTGTGTGTGTATTTTTTTTTTCCAGAACCAGGGATTGAACTCAGGGCCTTGTGCTTATTCTACTGAGCCATCTCCCTGGCTCCTGTATTATATTATTTTATTTTATTTTAGGGAAGAGTCTACAGAGTGTTTAGGGTGTTCAGGGTCTGATTACTAGATCAGACTTGTAGTGATCTGCCTGTTTACAGCCTCCCAAGAGCTGGGATTATGGGCTTGAGTCACCACGCCCAGTCTCAACAACTGTCTCACTGTGCCCCAGGGGCGGGGCCAGCATGGCAGGCCTGGGGATCGAAGGGACCCTCGGCCCCTGCGCCTGCTTGCAGGTGCTTTAATCTGCTCAACAATTTGGCTGGACCTTTTCACTGTACTTTTTTTTTTTTTTTTTTTTTAATCATACCTTGTAAAGACTCAGAGAAGGACTTCTGGAACTGCTTCCCTAGCTTTTTTTTTTTTTTTTTTTTTTGTGGCCAGCTCAGCCCACCCTGGGGGCAGGGCCGGCATGGCATGTGGTACTCGAGATTGAACTTCTGTCCCATGCCTGAGCAGGTGCTTTAGACCACTGAGCTATCTCACTGGCCCCATATCTTCTTTTTCTTTTTTTGGTGGAACCGGGGTTTGAACTCAGGCCCTGGTGCTTGCCAGGGAAGCACTTATTCTACTGAGCTACCTCCCCAGCCCTCCATATCTTCTTAATAGTAATACTTGTGCTGGGTTTAGTGGTGTACCCAGCAGTCAGGAGGCTGCGGCAGGAGGCTCCCCTAGTTCAAGGCCAGTTTGAAGAGTTTTGAGACCCTGTTTCTAAAAAATAAAATGTCAGATAAAGAGCCTACGATATAGGGATGACATGTAGAACTCCAAATCATATAAGGGAAGCATTCTTTCTCTTTTCTTCTTCTTTATGTATTTGGGACAGGGTCTCACTATGCAGCTCGTACTGTAGTGATCCTACTGTTTTCAGCCTCCCCAGAGCTGGGATTACAGGCAAATGCTATCACCACCTACTCTGTAGCCAGCTCAGCACACCCCAGGGGTGGGGCCAGCGAGGCATGTGGGAAGGGATCGAACCCTTGTCCTTGTGCTTGCCAAAGCAGGCGCTTAGTCCGCTGAGCTATCTCACCGGCCCTGAAGGGAAATATTCTAACCCCCAATCTGCTAGATGTCTAAAACCCTGAGTGGATGTTCTCAATTCTAAAACTGAGGAATGGATTCTAGTAATAAAAGAGGTTAGGGTGTTGAGTGGGCTGCAGCAGAGAAGCAAAAGGGGAAGGGAGCTTTATGAACTTTGAAGACACAAAGGATTCAGGCTGAGGAGTTGGCTCAGTGGAATAAGCACTTCCTTGGCAACTGCAAGGTCCTGAGTTCAATCCCTCTTTCTGCAAAAAAGAAAACAAAACAAAAAAAACTTTGCATTTTACATTTTGGGGGCCTGCCCATTAGCTCAGTTGTTTAAGTGCCTGCTTAAGCGAAGCATTCAGGTTCAGGACGCTGTGGTTCAAACCCAGATTCTCCTGCCAAACCAGAAATGCCCTGAAGGCATCTTGAAAAAAAAGGCCCCCCCATCCCTCCCCCTGGACATAATTCAGCAATTTATACTGGGGCTGGAACCTATCAAAGAGTAGGAGCGAGCAAGGCATGGTAGTGCATGCCTGTTGTCCCAGCACTCAGGAGACTGAGGCAGGAGGATCACCGTTAAGTTCAAGAGGAGTCTGGGCTGCACTGTGAGCTCAAGGCCAGCGTGAACTGTATAGTGAGGCTCTGTCTAAAGAGACAAAAAAAAAAAATAGAGTGAGAATAATTTATTGTGAGAAAGTTTCTAAGAGGGTTGCTGCTGACCCTCCTTTTCAAGGGTGTTTTAAAGGTGAGATGAGGGCTGGCCAGTATAGCTCGGCGGATTAAAGCACCTACATAGGCAGAAGCAGAGGTCAGAGGTTCGATCCCTGGCCTTCCGAGCGGGCCCTGCCCTGGGGTGTTGAGATGGTGATTGACACTGGGCATGGCTAAAAACAGGAGGATCACTAGGAGTCAGATCTGTGTAGTGAGACCCTGTAAACCCCGTACTAAATACAAAATGATAATAAAGGTGAGATGAGTTTAAGGTGGAACAGAACTATAACCAATTGATAAGATTACAAGTAAATAGAAAAAAGATTACGATTGTAGTCACTTGGGTAGTACTGATTAAATATGGGTTCGAAATATGGGTAGTAAGTTACAGGACAACCCGTAAGGGACAGATACTTTCCTGGAAGGGGTGGGAGGTTTGGGTTGCCCCACTCCGAGGTGTTGGAGACCTGTGCTTCACTGCTCTTCACCCCTACGGGCAGCACCCAGCGAGCAGTTCCTCCTTTCTGGAAGCTGCAGCTCCCATGAAAGTGCCTCTAGCCACAGACGTCTTCTGTCCTGACCTTGCAGGGCGGCCCGATCTGACTGCTAGGCAAGAGCTCTATCACTGAGGTGCACTCCCAGCCCAGCCCAGCCCAGCCCAGGATCTTCAATTCCAAATTCAAATTCAAATTCTGGTTCAGTGACTTCCTGCCAGTGTGGCCTTCCCCAAGTGACTTCTCTGAGTGTCTGCTGCAGGTTCTGTAGGATGCTGTGAAGGAGATTGGCCAGCGGATAAGCGGCGGCAAACACAGCTGCCGCCCCGGGGCGCGAGGACTGAGGCATTCTCAGCCCTGATAGGGCCCACCCAGGCGCTGATAAGGGTCAGAGGTTGCCGGGGGATGCGGACCAAGCCAGAGTGCACCAGTAGCCTTTCCTGGAGGCGCTGCAGGACCCTTTTCCCCCTAGCAGAGCCCGCTGCATGGGGCCTGGCTGAGGTGCGCACCCCCCAACCCCCACTGGCCTGTAGTTATGGGCCTAGAAATCCGGCCAGGTGTGTAACCCCTGCACTCTGGAAGGCTGAGGCAGGAGGATCCCCAGTTGGAGCCCAGCCCATGCAACTTAATGAATCCTGTTTGAAAATTAGAATTTTTTCTTTTTTCTTTTTTTTTGTAAGGAGGGCTGGGGATGTAGGTCAGTGAAAATGTCCTGGGTTCAACTCCTTAGAATCCTCATAAATAATAAATAAATAAAACACCAAACAACAAGCACCTAGCAGGGGTCAAGCGCCTGGGGCCCAGGGACTTCCCCTTGATTCCTCCCGGCTAACAAAGGCACAGTGGGAATTTCCAGAGAAGGGCCTGTGACCCCCACCTCACAGCCAAGGGCTTCACAGGCAGCTGGGCTGGTGGCAGAAGATCATTGTCACTTCCAGCGTGGGCTGGATTCCCAGAACTCTACCCAAAAACTCCACCCCAGGGGTCACTTTGGGTCTTTTCTCTTGCTGTGAAGATTGAGCCCAGGGCCTTTGCACTGAGCTGCAGTTCCAGCGGCATGCATTCATTTATTTATAAATATAATCTCTCTAAATTGCAAATTGCCTGTACTAGGGTTGAATTTGCAATCTTTCTGCCTCAGCCTCCAGAGGGCTGGCTTGACAGGGCCTTCACCCTCATACCCTGCCTCAGCCCAGCTTTTGTAGCCTCAAGTGAAAAATCACGGTTTTAAGCAAAAACCACCCTGAAGTCCTTGACTGTCTCAGAACAAAACACAAATCATGCTTCTGCTGAGAATGGGATTAGGCCCCAGGAGATTGTCTTTTGTCCCTCCCTTTGGTGGTCTCTGACTATGTCACTGCCAAGGAGCTGTAATCCCAACCCAATGTTTCAGAATGAATGAATAAAGGTGACATTACCAGTGATAACATTTGTGGTGGTGCCGCACACCTGCGATTCCAGCCCCGAGGAGGCTGAGGCAGGAGGGTCACCGCGAGCTCGAGGCCAGCCAGTCTGCGTTACATAGCGAGATCCTGTCTCAAAAACAGAACAAAACAAGATGCGGGCGTGGATAAGCGGGTGGGGGCGGACGCACAGCTGCGGGCGGGACTCCGCGCTCGCACCGGGTGCCGAAGGCAGGTGGCGCTGTGCCCGTCCCCGGGGCGCCCCCCCGCGCCGCCCCGCCTCCCGCCGCGCACCTGGCGCCTCCCTTCTCGCCGCGCTCACCTGGGCGCTCACCTGGGCGCGGGCGCTTCCGCAGGAAGAAGGAAGCCGCCCCTCCCGCGCCAGTCGCGGCGCCACCATGTCCGCCTCTGCCGTGTTCATCCTGGACGTCAAGGGCAAGGTGAGGCTGGGGGGCGTCTGAGGCCGCAGCCCCGGGAGACCCCGCAGAGAGGCCTGGGAACGGCCGTTCCGGCTTGGGGGCAATCTACCCCCACCTCGGACCAGTCACTCGCCCGGGCCTCCGAGCCTCAGTTTCTCTGTTGGTGACAGCGAACAGCAAAGCCGCCCCGCCGAGGAGAACCGATGCGGCCCAGTGCTTGCGGACCACTCTTGCCGCAGAGTCAAGGCGTACAATAGGCCAAGATGATTTCGCACGGTGGCCGGTAGGCCTGCCTTCCCGGCACTCTGGGAGGCCTGGGCAGCTTAGTGACTTAGCAGGACCCTGTCTCAAAATTTAAAAAAAAAAAAAAAATTCAGAATAGTCTGGGGATGGATCCATGCTCAGTGTGAAGGGCCTGGATTGGGTCCCCAGCACTGCACCAAGTCAATAAGTTAATAATAAATACGTATTATTTCCATCAGCATGGGGCAGGAGGACTTAATTCTTCCTGGGAGATGCCTTGTCCCTTCCTTTATAGCTCTCATGGCCATGCTGGCGGAAACAATAGGCCTGCTAATTGTAATAGTGAGAATTTGGCAGGGAGCAGCGCCATGCACCTGTAGTCTCAGCTACTCCAGAGGCTGAGGCAGGAGGGCCTCTGGAGCCCAGGAGTTCAAGGTCAGTTTGGGCTTTATAGTGAGACCCTATCACAAAACAAACAACAAAACCCCCGGTTAACCCCAACCTCATGTGTTTGCAGTATGTGACACCTTGGACAAGGGTAGGAATTGTAGCCAGCCATGGTGGTGCAAACTTGTCATCCCAGCACCTGGGAGGCTGAAGCAGAAGGATCCCATGAATTCAAGGCCAGCCTGGGCTACATAGTGAGTCCAAGTTTAGCCTCAACTACCTAGAGAGACCCTCTCCCTCTGTTTAAAATTTAGTTTGAGGGGCCAGGGAGATGGCTCAGTAGGATAAGTGCTTCCCTGGCAAGTGCAAAGGTCTGAGTTCAATCCCCAGCCCCCCCCAGTATAAAATTTAGTTTGAGACAGGCCGTTGACATTTCTCAGGCTGAGCTCCAATTTGCAATCTAACTGCCTCAGCCTCCAGAGTAGCTGAGATTACAGGTCTGTGCCCCCTTAACAGGCTACTTGCACTTTCGTAGAAACCGCTGTGGGCCTCAGTCGGCACTGTGGCTCACTGTCTGTAGCTATCATATGCCCATTGTACAAGAGGGTAAACTGAGGCACACAGGAGCGTCTTGGCCAGGTACTGCCAGCTGGGAAATCCCCTCTTATTTGGGGCCAGTGGTGACTGTGTCCTCTGTCCACTCGCAGCCTCTGATCAGCCGTAACTACAAGGGCGATGTGGCCATGAGCGAGATTGACCACTTCATGCCTCTGCTCATGCAGCACGAGGAGGAGGGTGCGCTGGCCCCCCTGTTGAGCCACGGCCGGGTGCACTTCCTGTGGATCAAGCACAGCAACCTCTACTGCATCCGCCCAGGCTGCTTCCTGGGCGTGGGCTGCGGCAGCTCAGGTCGAGAGAGGATGGGCTGAGATCAGAGTGCGCAGCACCTGGTCGGGGCTGCAGAGACTCAGACTGGTGCTGGGTGACCGTAGAGATGCAGGTGTTTGCCTGCCAACGTGGCGCACGCCTGTCATGCCAGCACTTGGGAGGCTGAGGCAGGAGGCTCGCTACGAGTTCAAGGCCAGGCTGAACTACAAGGCGAGATCCTGTCTCAAAATCAGAAAATATTTTTTTTAAAAAGATGGGGTGGTGACACCTGAGGGTCTGTACTCCATTGGAGTCTCCAGAACGGAACATTTTCCTTAACCCTGCTGGCCAGTGGTGGCCACCACGCTGAAGAACGCCAATGCCTCGCTGGTCTACTCCTTCCTCTACAAGACAGTGGAGGTGGGTACTGGCCTCTCATTGGCCGGCTTTTCTGTCAGTCTCCCCGTCTCTCCTGACTCGGTGCTTCTTTCCCTGCGCTTTCTTCAGGACCAGTGACCAGTGCCTCTGCCTCTGAGCCCCAGCTCCTGTGTCTCATTAGGTGTTAGGAGATCCTTGCTTCCTCTGGGGTGGATCTCAGGTGGTGCCCGAGAGGCTGTGAGGCTCAGATCTGAGCCAGAGAGTGCCCCTATTTCATAGCTGTCTGATTTTGAATAGGCTCCCGTGGTTCTCCCTTGCCTCTGAAGGAGAAGGAGGCAGTCCTGCCGCTGGGTTGTTGTATGTTAATTAGTCCCATAAAGTGTCTAAATCAGAGAAGGTGTGGTGGTGCACACCTGTGATGCCAGGGCCTGGGAGGCTGAGGCAGGAGGATAGCTGCAAGTTCAAGGCCAGCCTGAGTTACATAGTACGACCCTATTTAAAAACAAAAAACAACTTGTCTAGAAGCTTAGCGAGTGTACTAGTCCCTTGATAGCCTTGGGGGAATTTGTTCCAGGACTTCTGAGACCCTAAAGTCTGATCCTCACGGTCTCTACATAAAACAGTGCAGTGTCTGCACAGATCCTATAGGTATCTTCTTAGAGACTTGAAGCCCTTTCTGAATGATTTGTAATGCCCGATTCAGTCTGAGAGCCGTCACTAGCTGCTCCTGAAACTGTGTTTAAGGAATCGTGGCAAGAAGGATTACCCATGTTCGGTGCAGCGTGCAAGGTAATCCTTGCTTGTTTGCATTTGTGGTGCTGAGCATGGAATCCATAACCGGGCACAAGCTGGCTATGTGTTCTTTCAAAGATCTCCATCCCCAGCCTGCAGTTTTCTTTTTTTTTTTTTAATTAATTTTTTTTTTTTGGGGGGGGGGGCAGCTCAGCTTACCAGGGGGTGGGGCTGGCTGGCATGTGGTGCTGGGGGATTGAACCGCGGTCCCTGTGCTTTGCTAAGCTTGTTCTAAGTAGGTGCTTTAGACCACTGAGTCATCTCACCAGCCCTAGCCTGCAGTTTTCTTTGAATATTTTTGATCCGAGAGCAGGGCACAGTGGTGTATGGCTATAGTACCAGCACTCAAGAGGCTGAGGCAGGAGGATCACTGCAAGTTTTTGAGGACAGCTTGGGCTACGTAGTAAGTTCACAGCCAGGCTGAGCTGCATAATGAGGCCCTGTCTCAAGACAACACCGACAACAAATAAGAAATCAATATTTACTGAGTAGAACATGGTGGAACATTCCTATAATCCTAGCTGTTTAGGAGCCTGAAGCAGGAAGCGTGTAAATTCAAGGACAGCCTGGGTAACTTAGCAAGACTTTGCCCCAACATTCAAATAAAAGGGACTGGAGGGCTGGTGAGATGGCTCAGTGGTCTAAAGCACATACTTAGAACAAGCTTAGCAAAGCACAGGGACCGCGTTTCAATCCCCAGTACCACATGCCAGCCAGCCCCGCCACCTGCTGGGCTGAGCTGGCCACACATACACACACACATACATACATAAATTTAAAAAAAAAAAAAGGGACTGGAGGTGGAGATGTAGCTCAGTGGCACAAACCCCAGCCTGGCAAGTTCAAGGTCCTGAGTTTGATTCTTAGTACCAAATGATAAAAAACTAGGGGGCCTGCCCCGTAGCTCAGTTCTTTAAGTGGCTGCTTCAACAAAGCAGTCAGGCTCCGGTTGCTTTGGTTCGATCCCCACAACACAAGACAGCCAGTCATGCCTTGAAGGCATTGCGGAAAAAAAAAAAAAACACTTCTGCCAAATGATAAAAAACTAAAAAGGACGGGGGTTGCAGCTCAGTGTGAAGGACCTAGCTTCAATCTTTTCCACAGTAAAAAAAAAAAAAAAAGCTTTGAACCAGGCAGGGTTGGAACACACTTATAACCCTGACTACTCAGGAGGCTGAGGCAGGAGGATCACCCGTTTGAGCCCAGCCTGGGAAACTTAGCGAGACACTGTGGCCGTAGGGATATTCTGTGGGCGTCCTGTCATCCCATACCAGGTATTCTGTGAGTACTTCAAGGAGCTGGAGGAGGAGAGCATCCGAGACAACTTTGTCATCGTGTATGAGCTGCTGGATGAGCTCATGGACTTCGGCTTCCCGCAGACCACGGACAGCAAGATCCTGCAGGAGTGAGTGGGACCCGGGGCAGGTCGCGGGGGGCCCGAGGGGCCCTCCCTGGGTCTAGCTGTACCCGGTGTCTTCCCGCCAGGTACATCACCCAGCAGGGCAACAAGCTGGAGACGGGCAAGTCTCGGGTGCCGCCCACTGTCACTAACGCGGTGTCTTGGCGCTCGGAGGGCATCAAGTACAAGAAGAACGAGGTTTTCATTGACGTCATAGAGTCCGTCAACCTGCTGGTAAGTCCCCCCACACCTCAACACCCGGGCCCTGGGACAGCTGGGGGGAGCCGGCACAGCTGATGGCCCTGCCTGTCCCCCGCAGGTCAATGCCAACGGCAGCGTCCTGCTCAGCGAGATTGTGGGCTCCATCAAACTCAAAGTGTTTCTTTCCGGGATGCCGGAACTGCGGCTGGGCCTCAACGACCGCGTGCTCTTTGAGCTCACTGGCCGTAAGATTCAGGGTGGGGGGGGGGTTGTCCCTTTTTCCTGTGGGTGCACCAGGTCCCTAATAATTGCAGCCAATTGCGCAGTTCTCACACTCCCTCTGCTGGTTACGCGCAGAACTGCAGCCGTAGGGTCCCTGAGCTCTATGTTTGCATTGTGACTTGGCTGTGTTTCTGGCATTGTTCTTGTCCGGCCTCGTGCTTTTTCCTGGACATTCTCCTGGAACAAGGAGATACAGTCACATCCGGTTTGTTGTTTTGTTTTGTCACTGCTGAGGTTCAAACCCATGGAGTTGTGCAGGCTATCAAAGTTCCCTACTGAAGTCTAAGCCCTAGCCAGGTGTGGTAGCGCACACCTTGATCCCAGCACTCCGGAGGCTGAGGCAGGAGGATCGCTGCAAGTTCGAGACCCGCCAGGCTACATAGTGAGTTCAAGGCCAGCCTAACTGCACAGTGAGATCCTGTCTCAAAGACAGACACACAAGCTAACTACTGACAAGGTATTACATGGACGTGCGTGGTTCTGTAAAAGTCCCTGGAAAGGCCAAGTATCCTTGACAGCGGGATGAGACTTCATAGAGCCACTTCTCTGTCTGCCTTTGCACTAAATACCTTGAAGGCTAAAAAGACATAGAAAATACATGGCAAAGGAGCAGAGCAGCCAGGAGTGTGAGCCAGAAGCAATCACAGAGCTGGGAATATCGGTGACCAATTGTCAAATTGTTTGCTGTCCTTGGAAAGTGTATATAAAACCCTTGAGAATATATGTGCACCCTGATGGTGTAAGACATTTCTACATATGCAGAGTTTCAAAGGAAATTTCACTTCTAAAGAGTACGTATGGGGCCGAGGAGATGGCTCAGTGGATGCCCTGGCAAGCACAAGGGCCTGAGTTCAATCCCCGGTTCCGCCAAAAAAAAAAAAAAAAAAAAGAGTGTGTATAATGCTGCTGGCAAGATAGCTCCGTGGCCTAAAGCACTTGCTTAGGCAAGTGTGCAGGGACTGCAGTTCAATCCTGGGCACCACACACTGCGCCAGCCCCGCCCCCAGGGTGGGCTGAGCCTGAACTCTGAATGAATTCGTTTTGGGGTGGAGGGTTTATTTATTTATTTTGGAGACAGAGTCATGCTGTATGGCCCAGGCTGGCCTCAAATTCGCAGCAGTCCTCCCGCCTCAGCCTCCTCAGCACTAGAAGCACTAGGATTATAGGCACGCACCACCACACCTGGTGCCAAGAGCCTCGTTTTATCATCACCTGAGGAGCTGTTAGAAGCAATAGGCCTTACAGAAGTGAGTCCAATAGAAAGCATGAGTTGTGGGGCTGGGAGATGGCTCAGTAGAATAAGCGCTTGCCTGGCAAGCGCAAAGGTCTGAGTTCAATCCCCGGTTCTGTCCGAGCTGTGTAGTGAGACCCTGTACCAAATACTTAAGACAATTTTTAAAAAAGATCAATACGGGGCTGGTGAGATGGCTCAGTGGTCTAAAGCACCTACTTAGAACAAACTTAGCAAAGCACAGGGACCGCGGTTCAATCCCCCAGCACCACATGCCAGCCAGCCCCGCCCCCTGGTGGGCTGAGCTGGATACACACACACACAAAATAAATAAATACATAAATAAATAAATGTTTAAAAAAAAAAGATCAATAGGGCCGGCTAAGTACCTGCCTAGCAAGTCCTGAGTTCTATCCCTGGCACCAAAAAAAAAAGAAGATCAACACATCTTTTTTTTTTTTTTTTGGCGGAACAGGGGATTGAACTCAAGCCCTTGCGCTTGCCAGGGAAGCGCTTATTCCACTGAGCCATCTCCCCGGCCCCAACAACACATCTTTTGAAGACATTTGCCTTTCCATGAATGCTGTGTTTGCTTGTTCCGCATGCTTAGTGAATGAGCCCAGAAAGCAGTAGGCCGGCCAGACGTGGTGGTACACACCTGTTAACTCCTGCATTTGGGAGGCTGAGGCAGGAGGATCACTGTGACTTTGAGACCATCCTGGGCTATAAATTGAATTCAAGGCCAGCCTGAACTGCATAGTGAGACCCTGTCTCAAAAAGATAAAAGCAGGCCCGGGAGATAGCTCATCAGTTTGTGTACCTGCCTGACACGCGCAAGGTACTGAGTTCAGACCTGGGTACTAAAAAAAGGGGAAGCTTGGGAATAAAAAGACAGAAGCAAAGCAAAACAAAACCCAGAGGACCCTGGCGTGCTGTGTCACCCCTGTCCCCGGGGCATGCTGAGCTGGCGATTGGCCCTATGGCCGTAATCCCAGCACTTGGGAGGCTGAAAACAGGAGAATCACTACAAATCTGATCTGTGTAGTAAGACCCCGTAGACCCTGTACTAAAAAGAAAAGAAAAACAGGAAAATAAGAAAAAGTCTAAAAGCAGGGAACAGAATGTTATACCCAGCTCTGCCCTAGTAGGTCTGCGCCTTAGTCTCTGAAGTCAGGGTGACGGTGATCGAGGGTGGGCAGGCGGGGGCAGGGGTCCTTCCTGGCCCCAAGTGACCCAGTGGCGCTTGGCTTCTGAGTTCCAGGCAGCAAGAACAAGTCGGTGGAACTGGAGGACGTGAAGTTCCATCAGTGCGTGCGGCTGTCGCGCTTCGACAACGACCGCACCATCTCCTTCATCCCGCCTGACGGCGACTTCGAGCTCATGTCCTACCGGCTTAGCACGCAGGTGCGGCAGGCTGGCCGGGCGCGGGGTGAGCCGAGGGTCTCCGGGGCCCCCGAGCACTGTCCCCGTCATCTGCCTGCAGGTCAAGCCGCTCATCTGGATTGAGTCTGTCATTGAGAAATTCTCCCACAGCCGGGTGGAGATCATGGTTAAGGTGCGGAGGCGCCGATCGCCCACGCAGTGCCCCCTCCTCTAGGCTCGCGGGGCTCCCTGGGTGGCCTTGGCAGGGGACTGGCATGCATGACCTCAGGACCTTTGCACCTGCTACCCCATTTGCCCCAATGCTCAGCTCCTTTTTTTTTTTTTTTTTTTTTTTTTTTGAGGCACCATTGCTCTGTGTAGCCCAGGCTGACCTGGAAAGGGCGATCTTCCTGCCTCAGCCTCCCACGGGGTGGGGTTAGAGGCACACCCTCCATCGGCAGCTCATGAGTGAATTCCTCACACCCACACTCACCCTTGACAGGCCAAGGGGCAGTTTAAGAAGCAGTCTGTGGCCAACGGCGTGGAGATTTCTGTGCCTGTCCCCAGTGATGCCGACTCCCCGCGCTTTAAGACCAGTGTGGGCAGTGCCAAGTATGTGCCCGAGAAGAACGTTGTCATCTGGAGTATTAAATCCTTCCCGGTGAGTGCTAGGGACAGCGGGGACCTTCAGGGAAGGCATGGCATGGAGCTGGGCCCTGTGCATGCGACACTGTGGAGGGGCAGGTAACTTGGGGAAACCGATTTGAAGTTCAAATTCTCACTCTTGCTGACTCGCTTGCTTTCCCTCCTTCCCTCCTTCCTTCCTTCCTCCTCCTCCTCCTCCTTTCTCTCTTTTTAATGTTTTTTGTTTTTTTTTTATTGCAGATCCAGGGATTGAACTCAGGCCCTTGCACTTGTCAGGGAAGCGCTTATTCCACTGAGCCATCTCCCTGGCTCTCTTTTTAGTGTTTTTTGAGAAAGGGTCTCATTATCTCAAAGTAGTTCAGGCTGGCCTTGAACTCAGTATGTAGCCCAGGCTGGCTTCCAGGTCCATGCGCCAGCTCCTGAGTGCTGGGGTTGTATGTGTGTCACTACCCCAGCCTACTATTGCTTTTCTGAGGTTTTGGTCTTGGGACACCTATTTGACTTCACAGACTCAGTTTATTAGTGTGTGAAATGGGCTGGAGGCTCTCCCCATCCTTGGGCCACTGTTTTTTTTTTTATTTTTTAAATGTATTTGGTACCAGGGTCTGCAGGGTCTACAGGGTCTCACTACATAGATCAGACTTGTGGTGATTCTCCTGTTTTCAGCCTCACCAGCGCTGGGATCAAAGATGCCCAGTTTTAGGTCGGTCTGACAGCTGAGCCGACTAAAACGCCTACTTAGGCAGAGCGCAACGGCAGGGGTCCGATCCCCCTTATGCCATGCTGGCCCTGCCCTGGGGCACACTGAGAGGTGGATTGAAACTGGGTGTGGTGGTGTGGGCCTTTAATCCCAGCACTTGGGAAGCTGAAAACAGGAGAATTACTACCAGTCCAATCTATGAAGTAAGACCCTGTACACCTTGTGGACCCTGTCTTAAATACAGAAAAGAACAAAAAAAGATGCCCAGTCTTGGTGGCCAGCTCAGTGTACCCAGGGGCGGGGCTGGTGTGGCATATGGTGCCAGGAATCAAATCCTGGTCCCTGTGCTTGCCTAAGCAGGCACTTAGTCCGCTGGACTATCTCACCAGCCCTTGGGCCACTGTTTTTTTGTTTTTTTTTTTTTTCATTTTTGCCCAGGCTGGTCTTGAAATTATAATATTGCCTCAGCTTCCCAGAGTACTGAGATTAGAGTTATGCACCGTCATAACTGGTTTTGGGGACAGAGCCTTGCTAAATCACCAAGTTGCCTGCCCTGTGCTTGAACTCGACCCTCCTGCCTCATCCTCCCAGAGTACCATTGGGCAGCACCCCTTGAATTTTTTTTTTCCCCTTTTTCAGACAGGGTCTCACTATGTAGTTCAGGCTGGCCTTGAACTTACTTTGTAACCCAGGCTGATCTCAAACTCACAATGATGCTCCCTCGAGTGCTAGGATTATAGGCGTGTGCTACCACATCCAGCTTGTTTTGATTTTGAGACATGGTCTTGCTAAGTTTCCCAGTTTGGACTTTGCTTAGTCTCGTCTTCTCTCTCTCTCTCTCTCTCTCTCTCTCTCTCTCTTTCTCACACACACACACCCCTACCTTCAGGGCTACTTACTAGCACTGATCCCAGCCAATAAAGATGGGCTGTCTCTGTCCCATCACTGGGTGGGCTGGGGGTCAGGGCCTGAGGATTGGAGAAGGTGATTCCCAGACCCTCCCACATCTGCAGTCAGAGGTGTCTCCTTCGTGTCCTAGCCTAGAGCCTCCACTGTTCACATCTGTGTGGAGCAGACCCTGGGGTAGGCCGGTGGATTGGTCCCCCTGCAGTCTGATGCCCCCATGTCTCCTCAGGGGGGCAAGGAGTACCTGATGAGGGCCCACTTTGGCCTCCCCAGTGTGGAGAAGGAGGAGATGGAGGGCCGGCCTCCCATTGGGGTCAGGTTTGAGATCCCCTACTTCACCGTCTCTGGCATCCAGGTAAGGGGTGTGAGCTGCTCTCTCTGTCCCTTGGCTTAAGTCCCCTTCCTTTCCTGGCCTGTGTCACCACCCCCTAAGCAGCATCCCACCGTAGGTCCCCACGCCTTGGTCTTTGGCCTGTGCCACTTTGTCCCTCCAAACTGTGCTGCACATCTCCGCTGGCCCAGACCACCTCCCTCCCAGGCCCAGGTCACCGCTCTCTCTCCCCTCCAGGTCCGCTATATGAAGATCATTGAGAAGAGCGGTTACCAGGCCCTGCCCTGGGTGCGCTACATCACGCAGAGTGGAGGTCAGGGCTCGACTCTGGGACACAGGTGGGAGGTGGGCTGAGGGCTCGGCTCTGACCATGTTCTGGGCAGGACGACTCTGAAACCATCCTTGTCACATGCACTGGGTCCCAGTTTTCACATCTTTAACGTGGGGTCCATGACAAGCTGCAGGGAAGCCCTAAGGCTTGGATAAAAGTCTGGATGCAGCCAGGCATGGTGGTGCATGGCCCTAATCCCAGCACCTGGGAAAGAGGAGGATCACCTGGAATTTAAGCCCCCCCCCAGGTTACAGAGTGAGTTCAAAGCCAGTCTGAACAACACAGCAACACCCTGTCTTCAAAAACCAAAAAAACCACCAACCCTCCCCCTTGTGGGAAAGGTTATAGCATCCTCACTTGTTGCCTAGGAAACAGCTTGTTGCCAAGGTTATGGTACCTCAGTATAACTTCAAGGTAAAGATTGTTTTTGCTGCTTGGGATTAAACCCAGGGTCTTTGTACTAAGATACATCCTTGGCCCTTTTTTTAAAAATTTATTTTTAGGAGGATAGTGTCCACTATGTGGTTCAGGCTGGCCTCCAACTCGCAGTGACCCTCCAGCCTCAGCCCAAGTGCTAGGATCCCTGGCACATGGCACGATGCCCAGTTGAACTTTGTTAAATGCTCCAAGGGATCATGGTGGCTGAGGCAAGGGGTGGATTTGGTGTATGGGAAGGCCCTTTTCTCCCCCTTAATGCTAAAGTGGTCCCTGCTCCTTGATTTCTCTTCTAGATTACCAACTTCGGACCAGTTAGAAAGGACCAGGAGCAGGCCTGGAACATGAGTGTCTCTCTCCCCAGTCCGCAGAGTGTAGTGAAGGGGAGGGCAGGGCGAGTTTGTGTGTGTGTGTGTGCGCACGCGTGTGTGTTCCTGCACTGTGCATCCATTTGGGCAATTACCCCTTCTTCCCTCGCTGACCCCTTCCTCCGGTCTTCTTTCCCGTGGGCTGGGCAGATGGTCTCTAGCTTTCTTGCTCGTGGGGCTCCCCACCCCGTTTTATATGAAGAAATACCAGAGGGGCTTGAGGCCCCTCGCGAGTGCCTTCCTGCAGTGACTGCCTTAAGGGGGACCCGGCCTTCCTTCAGGGCCACTGAGCCTGCCGGTTTTTGGGCATCAGTAAAACGATGAATCTGGAGACTTTGACTGTGTCCTTGGCTAGGGCCGGGGTCCTCCCTGCGGGGTCGTCCCTGGCGCTGGGATGCAGGTGTCTGCTCTCCTATGCCCCTCCCTCGGCTCCTCTATGCTCCCCTGGACCAGGCTACCTGGTCCCCTCCTCCATCCTCCACTTCCCCAGCGTTCTCCTGTGGCCGCTAAGGGGCAACTTAACTAGTAATACAATACAGTAATCTAAGCTCCTCGGTTTAAAATACTCCCTCCTGCCTTCCCATCCAGTGAAAAGTCAGTCACCGCAGCTGACTGGCCCTTGATCTGTACAACCCCATCGAACCCCCAAGCCTCCTTTGGAGGTACCCTTCTCAATCATACCAGGCTCACTGCTACCATAGGGCCTTTGCATATGCCGCAGCGTGTGCTTTCCTTCCCAGATAAGCACAGGCTCCCTCCCTCATCACCTTCAGTTCTCAGATGCCACCTCTTCTGGGAGGACTTCCCTGTAACCTCCTGTATGGACGGCCTTGCTTTCCCAGGGCACTGTTACCTGTTCTATCAGCCCGGTAGCCTTTCAAGAAAGGGTTTAGGTTTTTACTCCCCTCCCCAGGCTTTGCAGTCGGGCGCCCCCGGCGGCGCTCCGTAAGATTTGCAGGAAGCCGCGTAACCACCTGCAGTTCCAGGCTGCCGCCCCCCGCATCCCCGTGGCGGCTCCGCGTTCAGCATTTTTCCTCGCCAGACTGAGAGCTTCAGTTTTTTGTTTTTGTTTTTTTTTTCCTCGCCAGAGTCAGAGTTCGATTCCTTTATTATGCATCTCCACTTCCCTATTCCTGTGGCGCTTAACGCCATCTAACTGACCTCGCCCCCTGGATGTGCGCTCCTGAGCGTCCCTGGGCGCTTCTGGGGCACAAGGGGGAATGAACGACAACGCGCATGGTGCTGAGCGCATCCTAAGGGCTAATAAGTGTTCCTAGGGCGAATGAATAACAACCCTGAGAGGCCCCAGCCCTGCCCCTTTCCCCCAGGAGACGCCGAAATCCCAGAGTAGCCCGCGCAACCCAGATGCCTGACCTTTCTCCCGCGGGTCAGTTAAACCCTCTCTGTTTCCCGCCCACCCGACGGGTTTGAAAACCGAAAACCCCGCCATTGCGGATGATCCGCGGGTGGCCGCGTTCTGTCCAATCAGGAGCGGCAACGCCCATGAGAGCGAGCGAAACCTCCTCAGCAACGTGCACACATTGGCTGGTGCCGACTTTGTGGGCAGGGCAATATAAGGTCGCTCGCTGGGCAGCGGGCGCCGCTACAATGTGGCAGAGTTTGTAAGAAAACAAATCGGGGGCGTGGCCGCAGGCGCGCTGGCTCCGCCCCCTGGAGGCTGACTCCCAGGCGGCGGCTGCGCAGGCTCAGAACAGACCCCGCCCGTGGAGGAGGAGGGAGGGTGAGTCGGGGGAGACCCGGCCCCCAAGGGGCGGGTGACAGGCAGAGCCTGGCCTGCGACCGACGGTTGGGCGGCCCCTCTCCCAGCTGGCCTGGGTGACAGGAGGAGGAGCCGGCTGTGAACGCGGGGGTCGCGGGGGGAGTGGGGTCGCAGTGGAGCGCGGGCCAGGCGGGGCAGAGGGGGGGGCTCGGGCCGGACCCCCTGCACGCACTTACTGCTCCTGGGCGGGCCCGGGGCTCCGCAGGCCACTCGCGTCACCATGCTGCTGGAGGAGGTCCGCGCCGGCGACCGGCTGAGTGGGGCTGCGGCCCGGGGTGACGCGCAGGAGGTACGCCGCCTGCTGCACCGCGAGCTCGTGCACCCAGACTCCTTGAACCGCTTCGGCAAGACGGCACTGCAGGTGAGCGGGCGCGCGGGGCACCTGCCCCGGCCCCCGTGCCGACTCCGTGGGCACCGGGCCTCCTCTTCGGGGGCGCCTGTGGTCCCTCAAGACGCTCTTTCCTAAGGCGGGGTGGTGGTGGGGAGGCCGGGTGGGGGAGGGGAGCGCTGCTTTTCGTCCTCTGCAGATTGTCGTTCTCTGCCTTGGGGGAATTAATTTTCCCAGGAAAGGTTTGGATACCCCCTCGTTGGTAAGAGTTTTAAGGCGACGGGGAGAGGGAGGGCTCGATTTTCTGGGTCCCATTTTCGCAAGGACAGCTCCCAGGGGAATTCTGATCCCTCTAGGGGCCATTCCTGTCTACCTTAGGGAAGACCCCAATTTCTGGGCTAAAGAGTTCCATGGGAGAAGTCGTCATTCCTGGGGGTTGAGCAGATTCATGGTATCTTCTAAGGGCCCCAGTGATTGGAAAAGCGTCTTTATGCTATGCGGCCCCTGCTCCCTGGGGGAGTGAGGTTTACAGGGGGGCGGTGGGCAGGTGTCCTAAGGAGCACCTCCTTAGGTACTGGAAGGAGTTTTTCCGTGGAGAAAGGAGTTTCAAATTCCCCAAGCGTCTCCTTTTCCCGGAGAGGACTGTCAGGTTCTTTGGGGGCAGCTCTCGGTCTGAGGAGGCTCATATTCTGGGATAGCGTTCAGATTTTCTCCTGGTGATTTCCCATATCTGGGGCTAAGGGATGGTTTCCGTTCCTTGAAAATTTTCATAGGACTTATTTTCTGGGTTAGAGTCTTGAAGTAATTTTGCAGGAGTGACCAGCTTCTTGGAGATTTCTAGGCCAAAACTTGTTTGCTCAGATCTGTAGTGGCCTAACAGGGGCTCCTGTTCCCTGGGTGTCCCCAAAGGTGACCCCTTCTGTAGTGTTCTCTATTCCCAGTAGATCCCTCTTTTTGGAGACCCTTGTTCCTCCAGTGAGCTCTTTTTCTGGGCCCTTCTTCTTGGGACTCGCTGATCCTCTGTGCCTACACAGGTGATGATGTTTGGCAGCCTTGCCATCGCCCGAGAGCTCCTGAAACAAGGTGCCAGTCCTAACGTCCAGGATGCCTCCGGCACCAGCCCGCTCCATGATGCAGCCCGCACTGGATTCCTGGACACCCTGAAGGTCCTTGTGGAGCATGGCGCTGATGTCAATGCACCAGATGGCAATGGGGCGCTGCCCATCCACCTAGCGGTGCGGGAGGGCCACGCTGCGGTGGTCAGCTTCCTGGCTCCAGAGTCTGACCTCCATCACAGGGACGCCGCGGGGCTCACACCCCTGGAACTGGCACAGCAGAGGGGGGCTCAGGACCTCATGGACATCCTGCAGGGGCACAAGGTGATCCCGCTGTGACACGGGACACCTACTACAACCAGAGAACCCTGTGGGTTTATCTGTCAGAAGAGGAGAGAAGAAACTCCTCTCCTTGCTGCTCCTGCCCACTGGAGAAGGGAGGAGAACCAATTTGTGGCTTATTGGTGTTGATTTCTGGAGTGTGTGTGTTTGGGGGACGTTTCTCATTCGTTTTCTCACCATTTGGTGTGTTGGACAGAGAAGGACTCCTATAGGCAACAGCCACCTAAACGGTTTAGTTTCTTCAGCATCCCGGGCTCCTGGGGCTGCAGGAGAGACCCGAGGGCGGAGGGTTTAAAGCCCCAGCCCCAGAATGAGGTCATCACCGCTAGGGCTTCTGGAATCTGGTGACCTTGGCCGGCTGTGCTCAAAGTCCCAGCGTGTGTGCCCAGCTTTGAGCATGGGGGGAGGGGGAAGCGTTTTGGTTAATCAAAGGGTAACATGAGTTCATTCATATTTTGTTGGAAGCTTGTTCTCCGATCTCTTGTACAGCACTGAAGAAAGAGATTCTATTTATTAAGCTTTATGGAAAAATTGTTGTGTGTGTGATAATTTAATGTTTTTACCCATTAAATTAAGACTTACGTATGTTCACAGTGCGAATGGCTTTTTATTTATGAGTATGGCATGAGACATCGGGCGTCCTGGCCCCGGGGGGGGGGGTCGAAGACTGTGGATGCTGTGGGGGAAGGGGACAGACTGGTCATTCCCAGGGCACAGGGCCAGTAAGCTGGGTGGAGCAGCGGTTGGCGTTGTCGGAACGGAAGGGAGGCAGGAAACCGCGAGTGGAGAAAGGGCCCCCAGATGTCAGCTGTGCGCCGTGAGCCCCAAGGGTGGGGGCGGTGTGCGGTGGCTGCGGCCTTCCCCGCAGGGGCGTGTCCCAAGGGCGGGGACTTGGGCGACAAGTGAGCGCAATCCCGGAAGGGCCAGGGGTGGGGTTAAACTACTCTCGAGCGTCCCTGCCCTTTTTAAAACCCGAGGTGGGCGGGACTGGAGAAGCCCCGCCTCCAGGGGGCGGTACCCATCACGAGCATGCGCAGTGAGTCTCCGTCGCCATGCCGGAACCGCGCGGGCAGTCTCCTCTGCGGGTGAACAAGGCTTTTGCGGCGCGGTACGGCCGCTACCGGGAACGCGAGGAGCTGCAGCGGCGTGAGTGTGGGGCGCATGCGCGAAGAGTGTGGTCAGGAAGTTGGAGGGGTCTGATCAGTCCCCCTGATCTGACTCGGGGGAAATTTCTTCTATGCCCCACAGTGAAGGATCGCTATGGGGACCGGGACGGCGGCGGCGACTCTAGCTCTGAGTCTGACTCCAGCGAGGAATGCGTGGTGCGAATTCCTGTCCAGGTCCTAGACCTGGCCAGGAGTCCAAACCTCCCGGCCCCAGACCCCAAGCCCCGCCGGCTTTGCTGCGTTTGACCACCCCTCCCCCCGCTAGACCTTCCTATGACACATGTCCTCCCTCCGCCTGATCCCCACGCCGTCGGGGCCACCCGTCCCTGGTGCACGCTGCCTGTTCCCACCCAGGTAGTTCTCACCTCCCTTCTGAGGTTTGTTCCACCTCTTTTCCTGCTCTAGGAATTTGACCCCCAGCAGGAGCGCGACTTTTACAGGACACTGTCCTTGTTGAAAAAGAAAGACCCCCGCATTTATCAGAAAGATGCTACCTTCTATCAGAGAACAGGTACCGTGGAGAGCACCCTTCTCATTGCCCTCGCAGTTGTTTTATTTTTTTTTTTAATTTTTATTTATTTATTTATATGTGTGTGTGTGTGTGTGTGTGTGTGTGGCCAACTCAGTCCACCAGGGGGCGGGCTGGCTGGCATGTGGTGCTGGGGGATCGAACCGTGGTCCCTGTGCTTTGCCAAGCTTGTTCCAAGTAGGTGCCTTAGACCACTGAGCCATCTCACCAGCCCCCCTCGCAGTTGTTTTAGAAGTGTTTTTTTTTTTTTTTTTTGTGCCGAATGCCTTCAAGGCATGACTGGCTGTCTTGTGTTGTGGGGATCGAACCACAGCAACCTGAGCCTGACTGCTTTGTTGAAGCAGCCACTTAAAGAACTGAGCTAAGGGGCAGGCCCCCCCTGGCAGTTGTTTTATGGGAAAAGTGTTTAGCAAGCTCGGGGAGGTGGTGGTGGATGCCTGTAATCCCAGCACTTAGGAGGCTGAGGCAAGATAATCATTGCAAATTCAAGGTAACTCAGGGCGATATAGTGAGACCCTGTCTCAAAAAATAGTGCTTAGGGGCCAGCCAAATAGCTCAGCGAATTAAAGCACTTGCAAGCAGGCGCAGGGGCCAGGGTTCGAGCCTCAGGCCTGCTGTGCCGGCCCCACCCCTGGGGCGCACTGAGACTGGCGACTGAGACTGAGCTAGGTGGCACGCCCCTGTAATCCCAGTTCTTGGGAGGCTGTAAACAGGCGGATCACTACGAGTCTGATCTATGAGACCCTGAACACCCTGTAGACCGTTCCCTAAAATTTATATATATATATATATATATATATATATATATTGCTTAGCAGGCTGGGCATGGCTGGGCACACCTGGGATCTGGGCTTTGTCTGAGGCAGGATGAGCTCAAGTTCAAGGCCAGCGATTTAGCCAGGTTCCATCTCAGAATAAAAGGGGCAGGGCTGAGGATGGACCTCAGGTGTGGTTTGAAGCTTAAGGTCCGGGCTGGAGGATCCCAGCAGCCAGCCCCTCCCCATCTTGCAGCAGGAAGTGGTAGATGGGATGGGGGTCCTCCACCTGGCCCTGTCTCGCATGCGTCTCCACCAGGGGAAGACGTGGGGAGCTGTGGTTGATGGCAACTGTGTCCTCCTGGGTCCACAGTATCATCCTCGTCTTCAGAGAGCGAGCAGGGACCGGCAGCCTCTGGGAAGCAGAAGAAAGTATGGCCTATGTACTTGAAAGACTATGAGAGGAAGGTCATCTTGGAGAAGGGCGGGTGAGGAAGAGCCTGCCCAGCACCCAGGGGCGGGGCCTGCGTAGAGGTGGGAGGAGCCTACAGAACTGACGGGACCCCATACGCATTCCCGTGGGTGCCCCTAGAGGCCTGTACCAGCTCCCCACCTCATGGGCCAGGAAGCCACCAGAAGCACACAGACAGCTTCCTCCCGAGAACCCCACTGTACATTGGAAATGTTAAGTTGGAAGTGGATTTCATTCCCAATAAACTCCTTCTAAAGTCAAGCTATTGTAGCCTGAGCTACTGTGTTCTAAAGCTCCCCTCTTTCTCCACACAGCAAATATGTTGATGAGGAGAACTCAGATGGGGAGAGCGCTGACCAGAGACTCCAGGTGGGTGGGGGGAAGGATGGGGGGCTCCAGGACCCTGGGGCGGCTTGAGGCCCACATCATTCCTTTGTCCACAGCAAACCTCGTCCCAGAGTTATGTGGAGGAACAGAAGCAGCTCCGGGAGAGGTGAGCCTGGCTGGGGGGCAGCTTCGGGGCAGGAGCTGAGCTGGGGCCGCTTGCTCTCTGTGCCTCAGCTCCCTTGTCTGTTAAGCAGTGTCTTTGCTGTCACAGCCCAGTGGGGCATGGTGGTGTGTTTCAGGAGGCTGAGATAGGAGACTCAGTTCAGGTCTCACCTGCAGAGCTTAGTAAGACTCTGTCTTAAGATTAAAAAGGCCAGGAGGTATAACCTGTTGAGGAGTTCCTGGGTTCCGTCTCTAGTACCAAGAAAAAGAAAAAGAAAAGCAAATAATGTCACAGTGCTTCCTCAGTCTCTTGTGAGGACAGCTCCATAAACAGAGCTCATCTTGGCTGCTGGCAACGCCAGCCTCAGGTTCCTGAAGAATTTTTTGTCATGGCAGCTTCCGGCCATTCATGGAGGACAGCGAGTCTGAGGACAGTGCCGGAGAAGGTGGCTCAGGCTTGCTGCAGAAGCACAGGAAGACCCAGGAAGAGCAGGTGGGCGCTGAGCTGGGCTGCCCCCGGGGTTGGGTGTGGGGGCCAGGATCCCCACACCTGAGTCCTGGCCTTCCCCAGGCCCAGGAGGACACAGACTACGTGGAGTGGCTGAAAGGACAGAAGGAGATTCAGAACCCCGAGTCACTGAAGGAACTGGTGAGTTCTCCCAAGTACCTTCGATGTCTCTCTAAGCACTTACTGTGTTTCCATTCAACCTTTCCCCAGAAAGTGACCTGTCTGTAACTTCAGCACTTGGGAGGCTGAGGCAGGAGGATCTCAAGCTTAAGGCTGGCCGGCCGGCTGTGAAGCTAAAGGGCATTTGGTCGTCACACCTGCCCTTCTTCCCTGTCTCTGTCCATGACCTGAGTCCTGTCACCCCCTCACCTCTTTAGATGCACCTCAAAGAATATTGGGACAACCCAGACCTGGATGAAGGGGAGCAGTTTCTGCGTGACTATATCCTTAACAAGCGTTATGAAGAGGAGGGCGACGAGGAGGAGGAGGAGGAAGAGGAGGAGGAAGGGTGAGCGTTGTTCCCGTGGCCATACCTCTGGTGCTCGTTAGTATAGGCCGCAGTAGTGGACCCAGGCTAGAAACTGTGACTCAGTTTCCCTCTTTATAAAATGAGCAGCATCACTTGGATTCTAATGGGATTAAATGAGAGCATGGAAGGTTCAGTGACACATGCCCATAATCTCATTACTCTGGGAGGCTGAGGCAGGAGGGTTGGAATCCTAAATTTGAGCCCAATTTTGGGCAACTTTGTAATGTCCTGTCTCAAATGTAAAGTCAAAAAATATATAAGTAAAAAGGGACTAGGACCGGGCATAGTGGCACACACCTGTCATCCTAGCCCTCAGGAGGCTGAGGCAGGAGGATCTTTTAGGAGTTTGATGCCAACCTGGGCTACATAGTGAGATAAGGGATCCTGCCTCAGATGCTCGGTACCCAGCTACCCAGATGAGTAGCCTGAGCTTTCCAGCCCAGCAACCCCGTCTTGTCCTCCAGGGTCCCTGGCCCCCCAGTCCAGCTGGCTGTCGATGACTCCTCAGACGAGGGAGAGCTATTCCTGAAGAAGCAGGAAGACTTTGAGCACAAGTACAACTTCCGCTTCGAGGAGCCAGATGCGGCCTCGGTGTGTGGTCTCTCGGGCAGGGAGGACCGGCACCCTGGGGTCCAGGCCCGCAGAGTCCTGGATGATCGTGGTGGCCCTTCTGTCCCCCTTTGCCCCCAGGTCAAGACCTACCCACGCAGTATTGCGTCCTCCGTGCGCCGCCGAGATGAGCGCAGGAAGGAGAAGAGGGAGGAGACCAGGGAGCGGAAGAAGAGAGTAAGTTTTGGGGGTCCTGTGGGTGGGGGACCCCCAGCCTGCCAGGGGGTCAGGGAGGCTCAGGGCCTCCTTCTCTGCACACAGGAGAAGGCCAAGAAGCGGGAGGAGCTGAAGCAGCTGAAGAACCTGAAGAGGAAGGAGATTCTGGCAAAGCTGGAGAGGCTGCGGCAGGTCACAGGCAATGAGACGCTGGGCCTGGAGGAGCAGGACCTCGAGGGTGACTTCGACCCTGCCCAGCATGAGCAGCTGATGCAGGTGCGGCCCTTGGGAGTCAGCTCTCCCTCGGGGTCACTTTGGGCTGTGTGGCCTGAAACACCCTCCCTGAGCCTCTTGCCCTGCCTCCAAAGTAGGCTCAGAGCAGCAGCTACCCCAAGGGGTATGGCAAGGCTAAAGGGGGAGGAAGTCACACAAAAGGATAGTTGGTAAGTGCTGAAGGACTAGAGGGTCCTTCACCTGCAATGGGGTTTTCGTCCTGCTAATAGGAAATATTGTCAGGCAAGGCTGGGCATGGTGGCCCACACTTAAAATCTCAGTGTTTGGTAGGCTGATGCAGGAGGATTGCCATGAGTTGGTTTGGTTTTTTTTTTTTTGGAACCGGGGATTGAACTCAGGCCCTTGCACTTGCCAGGCAAGCACTTACTCTACTGAACTATCTCCCTGGCCCTCGCCATGAGTTTAAGGCCAGCCCAGCGTGCCTAGTGAGACCCTGTCTTACAGAACAAAAAGAACTTTTTTTTTCTTTTTTTGCGGAATGGGGGATTGAACTCAGGCCTTTGCACTTGCCAGGAAAGCGCTTATTCTACTGAGCCATCTCCCCGGCCCCTCAAAAAGAACTTTTTAAAATTCGCATTTGATGCTGGGCATAGTGTTGCACGCCTGTTTATTCCAGCACTTGAGAGGCTAAAGCAAGATTGCCGTGTGTTTGGGGCCATCCTGGGCTACACAGTGAGTTTCAGGCCTGGCCGAACTGCACAGGGAGACCCTGTTTCAAAACCAAAAAAAAAAAAAAAAGTCCAAATTGTGCATTTGAGTGTGGGGAGTCCAGCTGGCAGAGCGCTTGCCTCACCACATAAGGTCCTGCAGGACACTGGGGAGCTACCCAGGGTTCAGGAGTGACCACTGTCGGGGTTGCGAGGTGTGGGCGGCCCAGCCCTGACCCCCAGCCCCACCTGCAGAAGTGCTTGGGCGATGACTTCTATGGTGCCGCAGAGGAGGAGAAGCCGCAGTTTGAGGAAGAGGACGGCCTTGAAGGTGACAGCTGTGGCACAGGAGACTGGGGTGGGGGTGCTAGATGGGGTCCCACGCTGACTCCGCCTGTCCTTGCCCTCTGGACCCAGAGGACTGGAACTGGGACATGTGGGGCGGTCCCAAGCAGGACAGCGTGTGGAGCCAGCAGGAGCCACATTGTGAGGACCCCGACTTCAACGTAGGTGCCACAGGTGGGGTAGGGGACGCCTGGGGCCCTGGAGCCATGCTGCAGACTGGCCTGACCTGCTGTCCCACAGATGGATGCTGACTATGACCCCAGCCAGCCCCGGAAGAAGCGGCGTGAGGCCCCCTCCACAGGCAAGAAGAAGCGCAAGTCACCCTTCGCCGAGGCCGTGGGCCAAGAAAAGCCTGTGTTCAGTCCTGGTGAGGCGCGGGCTGCAAGGGTGCTGGGGCCCGCTGGGGTCTGTGCCCAGCAGCCTGACTCCCTGCTCCCCACGCAGGGGACAAGACCTTTGAGGAGTACCTGGATGAGTACTACCGGCTGGACTACGAGGACATCATCGATGACTTGCCCTGTCGCTTCAAGTACCGCAGAGTGCTACCCTGTGACTTCGGGCTCAGCACTGAGGAGGTTCGGCCCTCAGGTGATGGGGACACTTGAGCCCAGAGATGCCACAACACTGACCGATTTCCTCATTACGAAAATGATAGCCGGGTGTGGTGGTGCACGCCTGTACTCCCAGCACTCTCCTATAATCCCAGCACTCTGGGAGGCTGAGGCAGGGGGATCACTGAGTTCAAGGCCAGTCTGGGCTACAAAGTGACCTCAAGGCCAGCCTGAGCTGCATAGTGAGACCCTGTCTCAAAAAGTGAATGATACACTAGTACTGGAAGCTGATGCGGGAGGATCCCGAGTTCAATTCCTATTAACAAACCAACATAATGTAGATCAGTGGCAGAGCGACTGCTGTGCATCTGAAGGCGTCCGGTTCCATGTGCCCATAAATATTACATTAGAGTTTATTTTGTCATTTTTCACTAAGTTGTTCAGGCTGTTCTTGAACATTTCATCCTCCTGTTTCACCTCCCAAGTAGCTGGGACTTTGAATTTTTTCTCTTTTTAAGACAAGCTCTTACAGTGTAGTTTAGGCTGAACTTAAGCTTCTGTAGAGAGCCGGGGAGATGGCTCAGTAGAATAAGCACTTCCCTGGCAAGCGTAAAGCCCTGAATTCAATCCCTGGTTCCGCCAAAAATAAAAAAAAAAGCTTCTGTAGAGTCCAGGTTGGTCCCAAACTTAGTGGTCCTCCTGCCTCAGCTCCTGAGTGCTGGGGTTAAAGGTACGTGTCCCACACCAAGCTTTGAGTATTTTTTAGTTGTTTTTGCATTTTTTACCCCCATATCACAACCTCAGCCACTCTAAATAACTAATTTTATTCCTGTCAGCAGCAGAGTGGGCATTAAGAGTTGCTGGGAATGGGCCGGGGAGATGGCTCAGTGGAATAAGCACTTCCCTGGGAAGTGCAAGGGCCTGAGCTCAATCCCTGGTTCCACAAAAAAAAAAAGAGTTGCTGGGAGCTGGATGTGGTGACATACACCTGTCACCTTAGCTCTTGGGGAGGTTGAGGCAGGAGGATCGCTGTGAAGTTCAAGGTCAGCCTGGACTCCACAGGAAGACCCTGTGTCAAAACAACAAAACCAAACAAGCAAATACAAGATCACTACTCTGTCTTGAGGCTCCGAGGACAGTGGTGGCTGGCAGGTGGGGACCAAAGCCCCTTGGGCCTGACAGAGCCAACATCAGCCAGCTTCCTGGCCCTGTGAAGGGAATTAATGTCACCACCCTAGCTCCTTCCCCCCTCTGATTCCCCCACCAAAACCCAAGAGACCCGTGCAGAAATCATTTCTCCCATGATTGTTACCCTGGGTGGCGCCAGGGTGGCCCTGTGCTGATAATGGAGGTGACACAGGCTTAGCCCAGCGCCCCCCCCCCCCCCAGATCCTGGCTGCTGACGACAAGGAGCTGAACCGCTGGTGTTCCCTGAAGAAGACCTGCATGTACAGGTGACAGGTTGTGGGGCAGGTGGGGCGGGGGAGCCGTGAGCCGTGTGTCCCCAGAGCATCTGGTCACAGGTGGCCCCCGCACCTGCAGGTCAGAGCAGGAGGAGCTGCAGGACAAGCGGGCCTACAGCCAGAAGGCCCGGAACTTCCAGAAGAAGCGGCAGATCTTCCAGTCACTCTGCCCAGAGGAGTAAGCACCCCTAGAATGGGATGGCCCTCTCCAAGGCTGGGGTTTTCTTTCCCAGCTGGGCCTCAGCTGTGGCCCACAACTAAGACACTAACTCTCTCCCTCCTTTATAAGATGGACTTCCATACCTTTCTGCCTCATATCTCATCAGGTTATTCAGGATTGAGTTAATTCACCTGATTGCTTAAAAACCAAGCAGGCGTGCTTTGGCAAGTGCAGGGACCGGGGTTCAATCCCAGGCACCACATGCCGTACCGGCCCTGCCCCCAGGTGGGCTGAACAGGGGCCACTGAGTCCAGGTGTGGTGCACGCCTGTAATCCCAGCACTGGGGGGACTGAAAACAGGAGGATCACTATGGGTCCGAGCTGCAGAGTGAAACCCTGTACAAATATCAAATAGGAATGCCAGGGCTGGGGAGATGGCTCAGTGGAATAAACACTTCCCTGGCAAGTGCAAGGACCTGAGTTCAATCCCCGGTTCCACCAAAAAAAAAAAAAGGAATGCCAGCCATGTTGGCAAATGCCTGTGATCTCAGTACTGGTTAGGCTGAGGCAGGAAGATCCCAACTGCAAGGCTAGTCTGAAGTCATGGCAAAAGACCTCGCCTCAATAAAACTGCAAACATGTAGAATGGACCACATGCTTAGCATGTGTAGCCTTGGGTTCAAACCCAGTAACCGCCCCCCCCCCAAAAGATGCCCTGCAGGCATAGCTGCTGTAATGATCATTCTGTCTGTACAGCAAAGGTAACAGAAGCCCAGAGCTAATCGAAGCTAAAGAGTGGTTCCTGTGCTGAGTTTGGAATAGCATAAATACCAAAATCAATACCAGTCTGGCCCTAGGTCTGAAGGAAAAACTTGGCTTGTCAGGCCTTGGTCTGCACCCAGTTAAGCCCTGGGTTGCTGCTCCTTCATTCATCCCTCATCTAGGTGGGCGTGTGTGTGCTCAGCTCGACTGGCCTTGCCTGAACCCCAACATTTCACCCCTAGGATGGAGACAGCTACGGAAGCCACTGGGGAGCTGCAGGGAGATAGAGCTGGCCCGCGGGAGCAGCTGCTGGCGCCTGACAGAGGCCATGGGGAGCGACCCCAGCCCGAGAAACCCCCAGCACAGGAAGACGAGGCTCCCGCTCTGCCCTCCAAGACGCCAGTGCCCCACAAACGGAGGAGGGGCAAGAAGGCTCGGCTGCTGGGCCCCACAGTGACACTTGGTGGCCATGAGTTCAGCCGCCAGAGACTGCAGGCATTTGGTCTGAACCCCAAGCGGCTCCACTTCCGCCAGCTGGGCCGGCAGCGGAGGAAACAGCAGAGACCCAAGAGCTGTCCCGGAGGCCAGGATGGCAAGGCTCGCGGATCTCCAGGTTCCTGAAGGCAGCTGCACTCTCCTTCCACCTGTGCGTCACTGACTGTGTAGAGCCTCAGGTTGGTCTAGACAAGGGAAACTGGGGCCCAAGAGAACCATCCCCTGGAGGCGCCCCACAGCTGGCAAGTTCAACAGCTTTATTAGCCCCTGGTAACAGACAGTTCCCCAGACAGGGGCCTGGGGACAGTGAAGGGCACGGCCGGTCCAGTGCAAACGACAGTATGTTGGGTCAGGCCCTGAGTGGGTTCCTGGGTGTCTGCCCTGCCCCCTGCCCTGTGAGGGGGCCCAGGAGGGTGCAGCTGGTGGGTGGCAGCCTCCAGCTGAGACCAGACTGATCTCTGCTGGGTGGTGGGGAGGTGGAGAGCCAGAAACCCTGGCAGCTCTGGCATTGAGTTGTCCCCCCACACACACACCAAGGTGACATAAATAAAAAAATAAATAGTCTCACGTCTTTCCCCCATTCCCTCCATTATAAAAACACAAAGTCCTCCGAGCTTGGCCGCTTGGCCTTGAGGAGGTGCCCAGGGCGAGGCAGCCGCAGTGTGGCTGCCTGGGGAAGCTGGGAGCAGAGGTCATCCAAGCTGTGGTCCTGAGCATGGCCCTCGGCCAGGGTGAACATGGGGTAGCGCTCTGTGGCTGAGGAGGAGCTGAGGATCTGCAGGGAGGAGGGAGAGCAAGCTCAGCTGGACTGGCCACCATGGGCCACCCAGGCCAGCCAGTCAGCATCCTCCCTCGCAGTGACTGGCTCATCTGCAAGCATGTGCCCCGACTCATTCATCGGAGATTTTTGCTGTAGCTGCTGCATAGCTTCTGTAGCAATGAAAAGTGAGCAATGGTGCTAACAGTTCATCAGCTGCCAACTAGAGCTTTTCTGCCATGTTGAGACAGTGACTTTGGCCAGTGTTCCTCTAGGCACTTCTCGGTACCTAAGAGGTGGACTCTTGGCACTGGGGGCTGCACCCAGGACTGAGTTACATTCCCCAGCCTGTAGCCACTAAATCCCCAGGCCTCAGCCTCCCCGTGTACTTTTTGGTGCCAGAGACCTGAGCGCTGAGCCTCACCCGCGCTGATGGCACACACATGCTCTACCAGCGAGCCGCACCTCTGGGCCCATGTGGACCCTAATGGCTTCCAGACCCTGTGCCCCCAGGCTGCCGGACAGGCCTCTCCTCTGCCCATTCCTGTCACTCACCCTGGTCAGCTCAGAGCACAGCGTCTCAAACTCCTTCCTGTTTCCTGCGTAGAAGCCCACTGTGCAGCTTGGGTCCATCTTGGCGAAGGCCATCTTGCGGGGAGAGGTGCAGTGGAAAGACTGGGGCCGACAGAGGGGAGCTGCAGAGGACCGACTCCCCCGTGCTCCCCACCCAGGCCCTGGGGACACTGCCATACCTCCAGGGGGAAGTCGGCCTGGCTGACATCCACGGCGGGCTGGCAGTAGTGGGGGTCCAGGTAGAGCAGGAAGTCATCTACAGGGGGGCAGCCATGAGCAGGGGTGGTGACAGAGAGAGTGGGGAGGCAGCGCGGTGGGACGGGGCCTACCCTGGTAGCCAATGAAGTACAGCGAGTGCCTCGGTTTGCCTCCCATGATGCCCAGACACAGTTCAGATCTTAGGAGCTCCTGCAGGGAAGAAGGTAGAAACTGAGGCAGGTGGCATCAGGCACTCAGCAAACACTAAGATTAGTTTCACTAGGCCTCTCAGGCGGGCCTCGAACTCTCCATCACCCTGAATTCCTGGTGATCCTCCTGCCTCAGCTTTCCAAGTACTAGGCTTAGAGGTATGCGCCACCATGCTGATTCAGGTTCTATTTAATTTTATTATGGTGCCAGGGATGGAACTCAGGGCCTTGAGCATTCGTGGCAAGCTCTCACCACTGCACTGTCCCGCAAGCCTGGATGTTGCAGTTTCCAATTAAAGTTTGTGAAGCCTCACTGAAGGGTCACGGATGTTTCAGCAGAGAGTGGATGGGGAATGCTGGGACCAAGGACCTCTCGGGGAAAGAGTATGTGTGCAGGCCCTGAGGCAGGAGGCTCCACTCCAGGAGGAGCAGGATGAGGATGGACCGGCACACACCTACAGGGAGCACTAAGGTCAGGGGAGTGAGGGAAGCCATTGGCAGGCGCTGTGGTGGCAGCGGCGGGGCAGGAGGCCCAGCAGAGGACTCGCTCTGCCCTGAGCACGAAGCCACTGAGGTTTCCCAACCCCTGGGCCGTGGTCTGCTCCAGTGCCGTCTGCTTTGCCTTTTTCTGCAGCGGGGCTTTCCAGGGCCCTCTGGGGGGTGGATTCCTGCCCTTTAGACACCAGGTTCAAAGGTGTAATTCCTGTCTGTGGTTTGCTGAGACAGTGCTTCCCACAGGCGACCTAGCCCAGGCTAGCCTTAAACTCAAAATCCCCTGCTTCAGCCTCCAGCGCGAGGACTAGGGAGGTATCCATTGTTATATTTATTTATTTGTTCTATTTAGGACAGGGTATACAGGGTCTCGCTCCATAGATCGGACTCGTAGTGATCTGCCTGTTTACAGCCTCCCAGATGCTGGGATTATAGGCGCCCGCTATCACTGTCTCAGCACACCCCGGGGACGGGGCTGGCAGGCAGGCCAGGGGATTGAATTTTTGGGCCCTGTGTCTGCCTAAGGAGTCATTTTAATCCACTGAGCTATTTACTTCTTTCTTTCTTTTCTTTTTTTTGCAGAACCAGGGGTTGAACTCAGGCCCTTGCACCTGCCAGGCAAGTGCTTACTATTCTACTGAGCTATTTCCCTGGCCCCTCCACTGAGCTATTTGGCAGGCCGCAATTTTTATATTTAAAGCAGGTTTAACATAAATAAATAAAAATAAAGCAGGGTTTCTTGGCGCTGGGGATTGAACTCAGGATGTGCTGAGCACAGCGGTGTGCCAAGAGCCAGGTCCCTGGTCACTAGCGTCAGCTGATCAGTGCTCATTCAACAACCAGAACATCTGCTTCCAGGAGACAGTCTTTGCCTGAGGCGGGCGTGGCAGAGGTCTATAGTCCCAGCACTCTGGGAGGCTGAGGCAAGATGACAAAAAGTTCCAAATCAGATTAAAATCTGAAGAAGGGCTGGGGGGTAGCTCAGTGTGAGGCCCCGTGTCCCACCCCAGGACTGGGGTGGGTGGGGGGTCAAAAGGACAAAGGAGACAAAAGCCGCAACCCTGACGCAAGCTGGAAATCCCAGGTGGAGGCAGCGCGCTCCTGCGAACCTACCTTCACTCCGGGCACGTACACAGGGTTCAGAGTCTCCCCGCCCAGGCGCACGGGCACCAGGATGACCACAGACTTCCATTCGGCTGCTGGGTCCCGGCTGGCCACCAGGTGTGCCACATCCGCCTTGTATACTGCAGGGACAGGGCCGTGATAGGTGGTTTGTAGAGCAAGATTGATGGAGCCTGGCATCCCTCGGGATGGCCACTTGTTTCAGGCAGAGGCAGAATGCTGGACCTCCCACAATTCTAGCCTAGGACCCTCCCCAGGTATCATTTCTTTTATCCCTGAGGGGGTGGGTCGTCAGGGACTGTGAGCTGTGATTGGCTCGGTGGCAAACCAATCATTCCTGCCCAGCACTGTACCTGTGCAGTCCTGAGAAACATACACGGCCAGGCGGGTGAGCTCCGAGCTGCTCTCCACGGCCTTCCTGGAGACACAAGAGCCAGGCTGAGCTCCTGGGGGCACTCAGCGACTCCCATGTGCCCTGCAATGGCTCTCACCTGAGGATGTGCGCCACCAGTGACGGCCCATACCAGTCACCCGCCTTCTTGCCCGAGCTCTGCCCAAGCTCCACCAGCCGGTGCAGGCCAAAGGGGGCCCGGGGGTGGTCAGCGAACCAGGACACGATCTGCCGGTGCCTCAGCTCCTGCTCCAGCTCAGGGGCACCCCGGGGCCAGCGTGGGGGCATCCAGCAGGCAGGGCCTCGGCCAGGGCTAGAGGAGGCCGAGCCAGGCAGATCAGGGTGGCCCAGGCCGAGACCCTCGGCCCACATCCAATCTGGGGGATGGAGAGCAGTCAGTGCTAATGTGTGTAGAGGAGTCAGTTCCCACTCATGCTTTTGTTTTTAGTTTTGGCTCCTGAGAGAGTCTGGCTACTGGGCAGTCTGACTTCAAACTTGTAGTAATCATCCTGCCTCAGCCTCCCAGGTCCTGGGATCATAAGTATGTGCCACGATGCCCAGCCCCATGTATTCACATTGTACCCAAAATGCTAGCCTTCCCAAGAAACCCAAATTTAACTACAATTTTCATTTTTCTTTTTCTTTGTTTTTTTGGTACCAGAGATTGAACTCAGGACTTTGTGTTGGCCAGGGAGGCACTTACGCTGTTAAGCTATATCCCTGGAACTTAACTATAATTTTTACATGCCTCAAACACATTTTTTCTTCCGTATTTCAGGGAAGGGTCTACGGCGTGTTCAGCGTATCAGTACTAGATCAGACTCATAGTGAGCCGCCTGTTTACAGCCTCCCAAGAGCTGGGATTACAGGCAGGCACCACCACACCCAATCTCAATTGCCATTTTAGCACCGGGGCGTCACAGCAGGCCTGGGGAATCGAAGTGTGCCTGCTTGTAGGGGCTTTAATCCACTGAGCTATTTGACCGGTTCTTCAACATTTTTATTTTGGGTCAAAGATATAGGTCAGCGGCACAACGCCTGCAAGCACAAGGTTGTAAATTCAATTCCTAGTACCAAAAAACCCAACAAAAACAAAGAAGCTTCATTTTATTTTATTTATGTGTGTGTGTGTGTGTGTGTGT